GTCTCCAGCGATGCCTTGCTCACGAGGATGCAGTTGTACTTGTCGAATGGTGACCGGCAATTCTCTCGTCAACATAGGCTCCTTGAGGACGCAGGTGACGCGGGCCTGCATACCCTCGAACACAGGACACATGCCAATCAAATAGCCCGTGTTTGTCATGTTGACCACTTGCAGAGCCGACAACGTTTGCTCTTTGCTGAGAGCTTGGCCACCAGTGGGTCGATCAATGGCTTGAATCAAGTACAACATCTTGTTGGCTTTCTTCGCTTCAAGCGCAGCACGTAACTGTTGCAGGCGCGCCACCACCTCCCATGCAAAACCGCCCCAATGGGCCAGGAGCAATTGCTTCTTCAAGTCCAGGGTCTTGTGGCTGCCAACTTCAAATTTGCGCTCTTGCAAGGCGTCCCACAAGGCATCCGGGATCTCGGTGCCATTCCGCATGCTGGACAACAAAGCCACCAGTTGCTTTCCAGAAGTGCAGTCGGAGAAACGACCGGTGCCGGTGAAGTGCACCACTTTGCCCAGCGAGTTCTTGAACAGCAACCTTCCAAGCTCGGACGCGTTGCTGACGTCCCTGGACTCGTCATCTTCATCTGGAAGTGTTGCATCCATCGTGGGATTTACTGGCTTCACCCACTCGCAAAGCGACTTTTGCATGGCTGGACGCAACTGAAGGAAATCGCCCAATTGGATGCCAATCGGCAGAGCACCGAACCACTCTTGCAGATATTTCTCCAAATCCAGCTGCTGTGACTCTTGTCGCAAGATTGAGAATCTGTACCCACTGGCATGGTACACATCCGGCGGAGTCATGGACATCTCGTCGAAGATTCCAGCCTTGGCATTCAAGATCTGCGATTCAATGGCATCCCCCTTGGACTTGGCGGAGCGGATGTCCTTTCTGTCCATGCCCTGATTGGGGTTGACATTGGCCCACTTGTGCAACGTGCGAGCTTCGGGTCCAAGGAGACGAACTGCGGCATGCGTCGGGGCACCGACAATGTATCCTTTGCTTCCGAAGAAGCGTTGTAGCAAAGGTCGGATCACCTTGGTGTAAGCCCAAGTCTTCCCTGATCCACCTGCACCGAGCCACAAGCAGTTGCACTTCTCACGGGAGGAGCCATCGGCAATATGAGACATCGGATTGGAACGATGCTCAAACATGTCTTGGATGGCACAGACCACGGGCGCGATGGCCAACACTTGTTGCTTGTTCAACGTATATTCCTGCGGATGAAAACAAATCATTTTGATTTTCCCGCGGGATCCAACCGGGCAGCTCACCAAACCAAAAAAAACCATTTTGTAAAACATAAACACAAGAGCTAAATGCATCACAATGGGCTACAAACAAAACACCACAAGGAAACTTGTTAGACAAAATCTTGTTGTTTTCATCCTAATCCCGCCTTCACGAGTTCCATTGCATAGTCCCGTGGTGACAGCTTGCGGTCATTCAATGACATCAGAAAAGGATCCAAGGTCTCCAACTCAGTGAAGCTGTTCTCCGCAAAAACATCCTCCATATCAGCATCCACAGTTTCTGCACCTGTGACCAGATGAGACTTGACAAGACAACACCGGAAAAACATGTTGAGAACTGCTCACACATGTTAAACTCTGAACGAAAAACGTCAAGATTCGAACAATTTCCGGTCTCAAACGGTTTTCATTCAAAGAACAAACCGGTTAAACAACTCTGAATGAAAAACGGTAGGATTCGAACAACTTCCGGTCTCGAACCGTTTTCATTCAAAGTACAAACCGGTTAAATAAAACTGAACCAAAAAGTCCAAAAATACACTAAACCAAACGTGTAATCATCCAGTCACTACATCAAAGGAAACACGTTCGAGAAACCCTAGCCTCCGGCAATGTATTCCAAATATTGCTTTTGTGCCGCAAAAATTCGTCCAGTATCTGCGTGACTCCATGTCCGATCCAGCTCAGTCGTGCCATTGCTTCGGATGCCCATACCATGCTTGACATCGGGCACGCCACCCAAACAATTCACAAATTGCATCAACTTCTGCAGAGAAGTTTTCAACGCCTTCGCCTTGGAGTTCGCCATGACAGCATACCACTCACGATCACGAAACAAAGCATCAGCCAGAGAGTCTTTGTGGATTGGATGTGGAGCACACTCCATGCGTTCCAATGCATCTGCATGCTGCATGTCATCATCTGCATCTTCGCCTTCAATGTCCACCGCACCCGTCTCATCCTCCTCTGGATCGGCTTCTTCCATGTCAACATTGCTCATGTAGGCGAAGCGCTCGGCGCGACGTTGACTGCTGCTGAGTCGCCGTGCCGCCTGGTGTAACCTGTATCGTTCCAACCACGATAACTGCAAAGTGCACAAGTGTTCCAAAGGAGTCAACTGTGAATAGTGCGACTGTGGCTCGACATTCAAATACATACAGATCAGCTCATGAATGCGGGGAATATCCACAAACACGCTTTCGACCCGACCCAGATGTTGCTGCACAAGCTTCTTCATGAAGTCGGCGAACAAACGACGTCCAGGAGTTGCTTTTGCACTGTACCATGCTCGCACACCAACAACATCTCGCAACACCGGTACGGATAGACCAGCCAAAATTCTTGTCTGCGCTGCTTCTTGTCGAACTTTCATGCTGGCATTCCAATGCCGCCAAACGGGTGTAAATCGTGCAGTGATCTCCCGACGGCTTTCATGTATTTCCACGACATGACAAGCGAAGCAACGCTGCGAGTTGTTGCAATCGCCGGTGCAAGTTGGGAACGGAAAAGTCAAGCCCAACATGTAAGCAGCCAGCTTTTCTGTCTCGTGGTCGGCCGGGAGACGAAGGTCGGTTGGCACGACCACATTGTTGTCCGCAAGTCGGACCTCTTGCAGCGAAGAACGGTGATGTGGATAGTGTGCATCGAACTCGAAGAACTGCAATCCATCGGCCTGACCTGCTTTGGAGCGATCCACACGTCGAACAAACCTGGAATACATCAGCAGCGACATGGAACGAAGCAGTGGATGGGAACCGCGATGCAAGAAGTCATCTTTCTGGTTGAAGTGTGCCAGTTGCTGCTTCTTGCTTCCCCTGCCGTCCACCTCCTCCTCGATGTCCGCCACCTCCTGAATGGGCAAGGCTGCCGCTGCATCAGGAGGCGGGACATCGAGGGGTGGCACGGCGCACTCAGGATGGTCGGCTGACGCATCCGTGAGTGCTTGCAATCGGCATTGCATGATTGCATAGGGGATGTAGCGGAAGAACATGTTGTACCCTCCAAACGTCACATACTGTTCCTGTTCGTACAAAAGCTGGTACGCCATCTCTCCGTTGGATTTTGCAACGCATCGCTGCATGCCGAAAGCCAGGCGTCGGAGGATGCTGAGTGCCCTGTGCTGCTGCTGACCCCCAGGCAGGTTGGCAGAGGACGCTGCCTGGGGCGCAGTTGCATCTTCTTCGATGCTGGCACTTTGGAGACGCTCGGTCTCTTCTGTTTCCAACTTCTGCACACCAGCATACAGTTCAGGGAGCAAGTTTCTGGAGACCTCAAATTTCTTACTTGCATACTCACCAGTGTAGAACTGCACATCCTCCATGTCACGAAACATATCAATCAGAATCCGCTCCATGGTATGCGAGAACTGCGAAGTATCTTTGTGAGGGCCCAAAGCATTCATGGTGGCAGTCTTCCGCTTTTTCACCTGTTCCCGAACAACTTGCATGCTGTCATCGACATCTCCACTGTCCAAATTGACGTCGTGCATTGGGACATCAACACTGGAGGCACTTGTAGACTGTTGTGGCTCAGCATCAGTATCAGGCAATGCTTGAGGATCCAGTGCGGACAAACCACCGACTTCTGATGCTACTTTCTCCAAATCAGCTGCATCGAACGCACGACCCAAATACTTCACATCCACGTTACATCGCATGACCACTTGAGCTGCAGGATTGCTCATGCCCTCGAAAGGATGATCACGGCGAGGCTGCATGACGTGTGGATTCTCATTTTTGAAATGCTCCAGCAATGTGACATCGGCTGTTTCATGAGGCAATCGAACAAATCGAGGTTCTTGAACTCGAGGCCATCCTTTATAGCAACGTGTTTTCATCTTCCCATCCGTCTCGTCTTTGAAAAGTTCGACATGAAAGCAACCAAATCGACAGCCTCGCTTTCCCTTCTTGGCACTCCTGGCAAAAACAAAAACACACCATCGTAATGAAGATGTTCCAAACCGTGTCCTAACTCTTGCTACTATTTCCATACATCTATACATTTATCCGTATAAAGATGGTGGAATATGAATTGTAGGATTCGGACAACTTCCGGTCTCGAACAATTTTCCACCACAGAAACAAAATATTATCTCTCACTACCAGGTTCCCATATCAAACAGATCTTAATATACATCGACTTTACTACTTCTGATGGAAGACAAATTGTAAGATTCGGACAACTTCCGGTCTCGAACAATGTTCTTCCTTTTTGTATTTCAACATGGTCTCATCATATAGTCCCACAAGTATATACCGCTATAATATTTCCGTTTGAGTTCTGGTCACTAGTTTCAAAACTTATGCACAACATGCTCCAAAAGGTGGTTACGAAAGGAACTTTCTATCAAAGCAAAAAAATGCACTAAATTGGTCGAGGATCTTCTTGAAACACGACTTTGTGCACTTGTGGAAATGATTCTGAATCACCAGTCGTCGATAATCAGAACAAAAGGCAGTCTTCCAAATTGCACGGGGAAACTCTTCATGAAGTTTGCGTCGTAGATATCGCGGTCGCAGCGATGCAAAGCAGCCAGTCAAACGTGGAGGACCAACTTGTTGTTCTCGATCGGCAATGATCTCATGACCATCTGGTTCCGTTGCTTGAAGCGGTACCTCCGCATATTGTTTGCCACACTCACTGCGTTGCTTTTCGGAAAACGGCAAAGGTGTACCTTCTACATTCAAGCAATCGGACAAAGCCAATTGACTGTCCCAGCGAATCTTCGCAGCAGCTTCCAACACTTTGCGACTCCACCTTTGCAGTTCCACCACCAGCTCGCCATGTCCAATGCGACGCATCAAGGTGTGCACACGACTGATGAGGTCATGACCCAGCAAGACGATGAGGATATGTGGATGCATGGATCCACGCCCTGACAGTCACTAGTATTTTTTACTTCATCAGTGAATCTTACGTTCCCGGAATCGAACAACTACCGACCTCGAACAATCGGTATCCAAAGCAAACATATATCATGTGTGTATGCATATATGTATGTATGTATGTCTGTATGTATGTATGTATCAAATTATGTATGTATGTATGTATGTATGTAGGTAGGCGCACAGAACCACATCAATGAGATCATATGGCATATCATCCACGATATATATGTGCAAACAAGATTTAAAACTCATCCGATTTACTTGCTTCGATTCTCCTTGCGTTTCGAGCGGGCCGCACAAAGCAGCAATATCACCAAAGATGCCACCATACAATGAAGTTGCCATGCCATCTTCGAAGCAGCGTGGAAATCCAACTGCATACCGTTCCTTTTGAAAAGTCGGCTCGATGCCAAGCAGCTCTTCGAAAAAGATCTTCATCATAAGATAGAAAAACCGAGCCTGGGACACTGGATCTCGAGCAATGATTCTTCGCATGGTCGCAGCCGTAGGCAAGCCCGGGATTTCATCGTCCCAATCCAAGCAAATACTCTGTGCCTCCACTTCGGCAATGCCATTCGTCTGCAGATGCAGCTGCAACATCAACGGTGCACGAACGTCAGCCAGATTGGGTGTGACAAAAAGATGCGCATTGCCATAGTGCCAACCGGCTGCATGACCACGAAGTCGAATTTGACTGCGATGTCCTTCCAAGCCGATGATATTGGCGGTTGATTGCAGCACTCCGCCCAGAGCACGTTTCAAAGCTGGATCTACATTGGCATCTTGCGTCAGAGTTCGAATGTCCGCAGCTTCCCCATGCAATGCCATTGCCTTCAAAAGATCTTCTGTGCTCACATTGGCGATGAGATTGAGATGCTTTGCGAAGCCACGACGCTGCACATATGCTTTGGTAGACTTCATAAGCTCCAATCGTCGCTGCACATCGTACATCACAGGCAACAATGTCTCCTTAACAAGATTCCACTGGTTCGTGACAATTCCAAACATAAACCTAAACAAAAAAGAGCGAGTGTCGGAGTGTCGGTACCAAAAAAAACGTAACTCAACTCTTGACGCTCTGCATCCGGAACACAATCTAAAAGAAAAACAAACGAGTTAACTCGATGCTAATCTACAAATCGTCAACCACCAACCTGGCGAGCCACTGATAGAGACCATCGTGGCAAAGGGGCAGAAACAAGCTCCGACTCTGACGGTAGCTTGTACTGCAGCTCCTCGCGGATGAGCAGGTATCGGAAGACCTCTGCTGCATCCATGCGAGTCTCTCGCTTCAGAAATGGAACTCCATCGCCCCAGGGGAACAAGTCCGGAAATGCCATTGCCCAGGTCGAAGGCTCAAACATAGAAGCAGGCGACCCTTGTGACGGCACCACCAGTTTGGAAGGTCGGACTTGGAACATGTCCGCTTCCACCTGCCGATGACTCTGTGCAGACTGGGCCGCCAGACTTTGGATGCTCTTGATCTGCCCTAGGGCCTGTCGCTCTCGAAGTCCTTCGCGACCAAGGAGTTGAGAACTCTGGGCAGATGAGCCATCAGACACCACGTTGCCATCTCGATCTCTGCAAACTTCTTGTGCCACACTGAGTCGGGATCCAGGCTTGCGACGACAGAGCTCTTGCATATCACGACCAACTTTCAACCATTTGCATTGCTCGTCCTCACCATCATTGAGGCCCACGATGCTCGACACCAAGTGACCTGTCGAATTCGACGTCGTGAGAACAACTTGCGCTAAATGGTTCTTCAAAGCTACTTCGGGCCACCCTTCAAAGCATACAACACGACTACACAGGTTTCACTTGAAATGAAAAAAACGTGGGACTCAAATAATTTCCTGTTTCAAACCGTCATCATTCAAAATACAAACCAGTCAAACAAAACTACGCGCCGCATTTTGAATGAGAACCGGTAGGATTCGAACAACTTTCGGTCTCGAACCGTTCTCATTCAAGTTTAAACTATGAAAACAAACCGTGTGAAATAAAAACACATGAAACTTCACGATGTCATTGTAAAGAAACTCCCGATCACATGACCAATCCACAAGTTACACTTCGAATGAGCAACGGTAGGATTCGAACAACTTTCGGTCTCGAACCGTTCTCATTCAAAGTTCGCACTAGCAAAGGAAAACGTCAGGAAGAAACACTAAACTACACGACCAAACTGTAAAAACAAAAAAATTCCACCTGCATCTTCCATTGGTTCCGCTTCCTGGTATCATCATCCTCTTGTCCTTGTGCATCAGCCGGGCCCTGTTGAAGCAACTGTTTGGCTAAGTAGCTGTTGACACCGGTTTCCAAAATGCAACCCTGCAACGTAGACTCACCAGCGTCCCGAAGCGTGACTTCTTCGTAGTACGGCGAAGTGCTTTGAAGACATCGAACTGCAGATTCGTACTCGCCACGAGGGGCCTTCAACAATGCACTGCTTTGAAGGGCTGTTTTGTTCTGTCCATCGCCGACCAAAACAAAGAGAATGGACTCCTGCATGTCCTGTTCTGGCGGCGGAAGGACAGCTCGAATGGCTGTGGGCGCAGCCTGCGGCAAAAAGATGCTGTTGCCGATGAAGCCCTTCTGCCGTTCCTCTCGAACGAGGTTACCGGGCTGCAGAACAGTGACTTGCAGACAGGTGCGCACCATTGGTAACAAACGTTTGGTGGCCGCTGCCAAGTTTCTCAAAGCTGGAAGTTGTCGACCGATCCACAAATCATTGGCTAAGCTGTACCGAGGAAGGCTCACCATGCTTGATGTCAAGGGACCACAGCATTCTCGGCAAACGTCGCATGGGTCCCTGACATCAGCTGGCATTCGGCGTCGATGTAAAAGGAGCAGCTCCTCCTTCAAGAATGGACGCTCGACCGCCGATGCCTTCAGCTCTGCAATGGCCTCTGGACGGGCCTGTAGCTGTGGCCAACGCTCCAGGTAGCGCTGTACGCCCAGAACTCGACACAGTCGACGTTGTTGCGAAGGTGCAATCTTCTTCACTCGCTGATCTTCCTCTTCTCCGTCCACCGTCTCTGGAGCTCCAGCAGCTGGATCTTGGAACAAAATAACTGGACGCAACTCTTCGCTCCAGAATCTACGAGCACAAACCACACATGCCCGTTCCTCACGCAGTGCTCCATCCCGTCCTGGCTCTCGCAATGCTGCATCCGCATTGGCCATCAAGCTGCGTTGCACAGTCCAAGAGGGAACCTGAGACCGGATCGATTTACCAGACACGTTTTCGAATATGTCTGAAACTCAAAAACTTATCTCATCGAATACATTCATTGTCAAGTTCCTGAGTCTTTAAAAGAACCTTTTCCACAATGACAGATTAGTGCACAAACCCCGCTAAGTATAAAAACACTGATTTTTGAGTCCCTGATTTTTTTAACAAAGTCGGGGATTCAAAAAAACAACGTTTTCCCTAATGACCGGTTAGTGCACAGACTCCGCTAAGGAGAAAAACACTGATTTTTGAGTCCCTGATTTTCTTAAAAAAAATCAGGGACTCAAAAAACAACATTTTCCATGATGACCAAATAGATCACAGAACATCGAATGCACAAGAATTGCCTAAGCAAGTAAAATGACACTAACCAACGCCAGGACACCGAAGGTCCTGCATGATGCAATAATCCAACCACTTTCTTGCGATATTCCACCCATGCTCTTGCAACCTCAGTGTCATTCGAATGAGCGTCCTTGATGTGCTCTTGCAAGACTTCCTTGTCTGCACATTGAAAGTCGCACAACCGACAAACATATCTGTTGAGCTCCATCTCCTCTGTGTCCTGTGGAGTTGAGAGTAATCGAGTGGACATAGCTTCCGCCACACCTGGTATGCTAGGAGTGCATTGCAACTTGGCAGCAAGAACGCTCAATTTGCGCTGAAGAGACAATCCATAAGATTGCAGCGTCGCAAAACATTGTTGAAGAAACACATCGCCGCATTGGAGGACTTCTTGCAATGTATGAAAAGTGCGACTTTTCTTTGCATCCTCTGTCCAGCCAGGTACAGAAAGCGTAAGTTGCTCTTCAAACTCAGAACGCCACTGCACACCTGTCGATGAGTCACCTGCTCCAGTAAGACAGTCCAAGGACAACTGCTCTAAAGGTTCAAAATCAGGAGGATAAGCCTTCTTCATGCTTGAGATGCGATTCCTTCTGTCCTTCTCCTTGTAGCTGTCAATCTTCGAAGACAAAGGCCTGTCTTCAGATTCATTCGGCAGTCTACTCGTCCCCGTGTCCATTTGCCACTCCAGCAACTCTTGATGCAGGGACAACACATCGGCATGGACGCCATTCCTTCGCAAGGCTCAAGGGTTATGATGTAAAGCCTTTTACCCAATCGACAACCAACAACGATACTGACGTCCAAAAACTAAAGAATGTACGACCATACCAAACAATTTACCCCTCTACATTCAACGCCCCGACTCCTGGAAGCTCTAAGTGCAGCAATGCGATCAGGTTGATGGAGGCAACGCAGAGCCGTCAACTCGCCAGATGCACGTGGATGCAGAAGTCGCTGTATGACGAACCACAGTGTCTGCAGAAAATCTGCTTTGGTGAACACTTCCTGCCACAGACACGGCTTTTCCGGATGATCTATCAGTTCCAAGCCATACCTTCGCATGAGACCACGTAGAAAGGCCTTGTCGGCATCATCCAAAGCACCCTTGCGCTTCCGAGACTTGCCATCCGTCTCCACTGTGGCCCTACGGCCATGCAGAATTTGTAGAACGGCCTCGCAAACGGATCGTACTACACGAGACAAAACATTCGGTTGAAAGCATTGTACCAAAACACTCCGACGAAAAATGAAGAAAATAAACAGGTACCCTACCTATAAAGAGTCATGCTGTCATGCACCCTCGCCTCTAAAACGTCCTCTTGATCTTCGAAGCCTGTTGGTTCATTCCACTGCCGTTCCATCCGCACTGTCTGCAGATCCCAAAGACGTTCAGCAACATCAAACATATCGACGGAATCCGCAAAATCCAACAACTGTTTCCATCCTGCAACCCAACCAAAAACATTGATGAAAGCAAACGTTAGACAAAACAAACCTGTCAAGGAAACAACCAATAACAACTCCATGTTCTCGTGCTAAGCAAAAACAACCTTCAACAGACTGAACCTTCAGCTGTTTGATCAAACTACCGCCGTCCTTGAGCTTTCACTGGGTTCTCGTGCAACACGCAAGCCAGCAAAGCGATGACGTGCTCGCGTTCAAGGTTGGGAAAGCGCTGCAATGCAGCATCAGCATCAAGTTTTTGCAAGTCAACATCCAGTGTGGCCCAAACGTCCGAAACGGAATTGAAGTGTGTCATAATGCAACCAAGACTACGAATCAATTCCAGCAATGTCTGCTGAGAGCTATAGTGACGTCCCACCAGAGTGTCCATCGGAATGCACAAACACCATGCAAGAAGTTTCAGCCGAAGATCTGCGTCGACTACCTCTGTGCTCAAGAAATCGGCATCGATTTGCTCGCCTGCTGCTTGTCTTCCAAGACAGGACCGAAGCAATCGCCAAGCATGCCGCTGCACCGCGGCGCTGCTGTCCAATGATTCTTCTGGCAGCAAGACGGCGATCACGCGCTCGATCAGCGCCTTCTTAGACAGACAGTCTTCCACACCGACTTCAGCACCCAGCGCCGCCAGCGGGCTTCGGCCGTCCACTGAATCCTTGGCTACCTTGGCCGAGAAAGTGTTCAATTTGCGACGAAGCCACGCCCGTGCATTGGGGCCTTGCTGTACCGCCTCCAGTTTCAGTTGCTCAGCGGTTACCTTATCGCTGACATGTCAGAACATCACACTCACCACCGTCCTGAAAACTAACAACAACAAAAGCAAAATTCCAACATACCAATCAGAACGGAAAGACAAACAAACGCTTCTTTCCTAAAGCTGTTGTCAAGGCTCAATGGATGGAGAAGTTGCTTTCGTCAGCAGTTCCACCAACTCAGCCTTTGATCTCCGAGAGTCCCCTGCCCGGCAAGAAACACCTGCAGGTACACATAGCCTCCGCAATTCATTCGCGTCCATTCCTTCCAACTCCTTCTGCAACCACTCCTGGCCTTTCACTTCCACATCATCGCACAGGGATTGCCAGATTTGGTGCGGTGCCTTCGGTGGAGCCTCTTCCTGAGTCGATCGAGTCTCTCAAATATGGGGCTCCATCTAAAATGAGCAAAGCCAGTCCAAACGTTGCAGAACCGGATGAACACATGCATTCCCGAACCTCCTGTTATGTCATACTGTCGAAGAACCTGAAACGTACAACGTTCTCACAAAAAATATGCCCATCCAACATTTATATCTCATGTGTACTGACAACATTTACGTGTCGCGTGCACAGACAAAAGTGCATATCAATAAAAACAAATATTTCTATAGAATACTTGTCACATACGAATCATCACATTATGTCATGTCATCCAACTGGCAGCCACGGGTCCAAAGATGGAGACAATGCCGGCAACAATT